ATCAAAACAGGTATTACTAGACATTCCATCCCCATGTTAGAGTTGTAGCCAGGTTTTTAATCAAATTTGTCTTAGTTGATGTGCGCCACCTACAAATTGCGCTGATCTAAATTACTGATTTCTGCCGATTACACGATGGTTTTTACCAAGTCAAACCGATGGAATGACTTATTGTGAGCTATAGCAACTGTTGTGACCCAGCAACTATGTCAGTAACCAAAAATAAGGTACAAAATAGAGTTTTAGACACTAGCGCAATCTGTGACTGGCTCACACAACTACGTTCTTTTTTAGTAAAAAATTGGCGACAGCTGACCCATATAGATGGGAGTCAATGGTGGTAGACTTCTCATCCCGTTGTAAATTTTGAAGCTCGTTTTTCATGTCTAGTTCATGTACGCCACACTGGGCGCTAGTGTCGACGAAATTTTGTTTCTATTATTTTAGGGTTAATTTCTTGATTTGTGCTTTACTGTTTGGTTAAATAACTAGGGGACAATTTATTGTTTATGATTAGATCGTATTATTTGGTTAAACAAAGTTTTAAATTACTGTATTAACGGGAAACAAATTGTAAACAAAACACGACCTCTACATAAACCGTACAGAACTAACAATAAAATTGTCTTCAGCTGTTCCATTAGGATGAGAAATCTATATAAGGTAGAATGTTTTATCTATGGTATTACTGTAGAAACCAGTGTCCCTATGACAATAATTTTGTAACTATACCAACAAAGCTATACATACGTTACTAGGTGACAAATCTACTACTACACTTATCAAATTTAGAAATTAAAGGCTGCTTTTCGATATAAAAGATCCAAAGAAAAATAATTTTATTGATTGTGAAATTGTTAACACATCATACAAAATCTAACTGTATCAAGACGGCCATGAAGATTCAAATGCCTCATTTATCCTTTTTAGTTTTAGCAATCTTTATTTATTTTTTCATCAAATAATGTTTCAATTATTAAACTTAAAAGCATAAAGCGATCGCAAGAGTTGTTCAACGAAGTAGTTCTCAGAAGCACTTGACTGTTGCAGCTCAACTCAAAGTAACGTCGTGTCAAAGGCCATAATGCACAGTGGAGCTTTACCGCTGACAGTGGCTGAAGAAATCTGTTGACACAAAATGTAGTAAAATTCATTGAATTGCTTTTAAAAAATCCTTGGGTGCTTTTAAACCATGTTATAATGTCACGCTCCTCGTTCGTAGGCTTTAAAATGCAGGGTTATGACACAATGGTTTAATGTTATGTTCGTTTTTGTAAACTTTGATGTGACCTATAATGGTTTAAATCTTCAATTTGTGTGACCTGACGTTTCTACTACATGGAAACGCGTAGTCCAGTATAGGAATCATATGGCATTACCAGGTAGATGAACCTTTTTACAGTTAAGACACCTTATTTAAAAGTAACAAAGATTTTTTACACAACTTATGTCCTACAAAAAGTAGCAGATCATAAATTCAATATGCGTAATAGCTAGCCAGTAGTATTAGGCAATATTTCTATTCCGATAATTAAACATTTAGCTAGCTTTAGTTTAAGACATCAGATTGTAACAATTGAGAATTGAAATATTTTTCAAAATCTATGACATTTCATTTTGTCCACGTACTACCGAAAACATAATTGAGAGTAGAAAAACTTTACGTCCAAAGCATGGTTGACTCAGCTGATATTTTGGCTAGTTGCTGCATGCGAAATCACTTCTTTAGTATATTCAGCTGTGATCAGGTCGTATCCGGGTGACTTATTTTTTGACAACTTCCAAATCACACGTTTTGCGAGAAGCTTAAGACATATGCAGCGGAGTTTCAACAGAGTTTTGAATTTCAGCAGTGAATATCTAGTTCCACTCTTCATGGGGACGAAAAACATTCGAAAAATGGTCTGCGAAAGGACCAGTATTAGTTTTGTCCGACTATGCCCACGAATCATTCGGTCGTTTGAGGGGAGACGATGTGCAGGTGTAATGTAGGATTTTCCTTGTTGTATTCCATGCAAACCGTCAATAGAAGAAAGGTGACCTAGTTCAAAGGCATTTTAAATTTTTCTAATTGCATGTTTGAATACATTTGTGCAGCGATTGAGGACACGTTTATCTGATGGAAGTCTAGTTTAATACCATCCTCTCGTTCTATAATTAATGCTTTCATAATTTATATGTAATACCACAGAATAAAAGATAGTATAAGCCTACAGTGATAGTGAGTAGACAGATTAGTGTCTACTCTCTCCAATCTTTGGTAATATTCAATTTACAGTTGGCCACCACTTTTTATATTAAAACAATGTAGTATTGTTTTGCTACACAGGCTGCTTGAATTAAACAAAAAAAGAATACAGTTTTAAAAACTAAGTTGTATAGAATTCTCATCACCACTGTAATTTTTAAGCTCGTTTTTGTGTCGAGTACATGTCCGCTGAAACTGAGCAGCAGTGGTGACGGAATTTTGTTTCTATTTTTTTATGGTTAATTTCATGATTTGTGCCTTACTGTTTGGTTATATAACTAGGGGACCTATGATTGGATCGTTTTATTTGGTCAAACGAGGTTTAAAATTACTAAAATAACAAGAAAGAAATTGTAAATTAAACACGACATCTACAGTGCACCGGATAGAACCTACTAACAATAAAATTGGCTTCAACTGTTCCATAAGGATGAAAAAATCTACTTAGGGAGTATGTTTTATATATGGTTGTACGCTGTTGAAAAGCTAAATGTGCAACGGTCTATGTTTCTGTAATCAATAGTATTTGTGTAATTGTAAATTTTCTTAGTTTCTATAATCGACGGTAAGTGTGTAAATGTAAATACCATGAACTTTGGAACAAATTATGAGACACTTATTAGAGGGACCGTATCAGTATGAACCAGCTGTCCTTATAATTATATTGTTTCTTGATGTTTTATTTACATCAATTCAATGTGTCTCGTTTCTTGATGTTTTATTTACATCAATTCAATGTGTCTCAATCTCAATAAATAAACAAGAGTGATATTTTAATCGAATTTCGTGTTTGTTCGTGATTGTGTAAATGTGTAATGTGCGCGTGTGTGAAAATGTTCAAAATATTTCTCCAATATGTCAGAGTTTTGCAGAATGATCGGGAACGCTCTAGAGCGAATTATAACTTTGAAAATAAACTGTGGAAGTGCGCGATAGACTTTCGTCTATGTTCAATGTCTATGTCTATGTCTACATTCTGTATGCAGAATGTTCTAGAAACATATCCCAGAATTTTCTATTTAGACCATAATACTCCAACCCCATCGCCCTTCAAACGGGCGTATACAACTTCAAGCGTTTCGTTATGGCTCTAAGAAAAAGTTCGAATAGCATCCTTAAGTGTCTCTAAAGGAAAAATAAATATCGTAGGTATGTAAATGTTGCAAATAAAATAAATGTTGAAGATGAAACGTAAAGTATGTAGGCTACTCACTCCACTTTAGAATCTGGGGTAGACTTCCGTATCTGTTGGCACAAATAGCCGAATGAAAATATCATTATTTAATATATCGTTTGGTTAGTTAGGCAAGGTTAACCTAACTAACCAAACTTGATACCTATATCGAATGAAATAATCGATATATCGATCGGTATATTCATTCGAATGAGTGTAGGACAGATACTAAAGTGCAGCCAAAGTATGTACTGTTTGATAGGTAATGCTAAATTACCATTACAAGTACCACAACACATGGCTAATATAAACGGGGTGATACCAGACTGAAAACATTTTCAAACAAAATACAGTAGGCCTACACGTCAATACTAAAACTGTTGCTTCCAAATTGTATTGTGAACTTTACTTTATTCCGGGCAACGCCGGAGGTTTGCTGCTAGTATGGTACTAAAATAAAGCATTAAACTGGTTGTACGTTTGCTCAAACAAAATGACTTCAATATTTTGAGACACTTATCTAATTGGTTACCCTAAGTTTATTAAATCAAATGTAAATAAACATCTATTTTAAACAAACGCAATCCATCAAGCAGACAGTATGATTTTGCAGGCAACATATCACGGTCTCATGCACGAAACTTTTAACAGGATGAAGCTACGAGAAAAATCAACAACGGAGGTAGCGGCGGATGTGGTTAACAACTGAATACGTTCAACGTTTTAAATTTTAACAGAATGAACCATCGTTATCAGAGTTAGACAATCGTTGAGCTTAAAACCAACGTTACAAAAACGTTAGTTATTTATTGGGGATCGTCAGTTGTCATGGCAACTTGTAATAGCGTTTGCATTGCAAAAATTGTATGCAAGGTTTAAAATTTAGGTATTTTAAAGCTGTATGAATTGTAAATACCCCCACCGCAACAAACCTGCAGACTAGGTGAATTTCTACTAAAACATTTCCTTAAAATTGTCTACCCTATTTTCTATTTAAACAATTAATTTTAATGAATAATAGGTTAGCCGCTACAGGGAAGGTATTGCGGTTTGTTTTTTATTGAAATGTCGAAAGTTTAGTGGGTATGAAATAAAATATAATTGCCAAATTTGATTAAAATACATTCATAAACAAGCAAACTACAACAGTTTATTTAGTCTCCATAAAATAATATGTGAGTTTTAAATTTACAGTTACTTGAATTATCTCTGTAACCGTAAGCATACAATAAAGTTGTCTACCGTCAACATACACAATTATTTATTTTTTAAGCTCTACAAAATGTTTTGGAAAGAAATTGTGAAATGTTATGTTTTTAGAGTCATAAATGGGAAAGCCAATTTTCACCCCATAAAACCTATAAAATGTGTTATAAGTATATGTTTTATGTGTCAGTTAACAAAATGTTGTATTTAGGTTCACAGGGTTAATTTGATCACAGATTCTACGAATGTGTACTTTGAACGTAAATTTAAATAATTCCAACCTTTATTTCCATAATGTTTAATATATTCTTGTTGAAATTGTAAAAAAGAAAACAAATTTTCTTGTTGCAGAAATGTGTCCGTACGGTGGACGAGTAGCAATACCGATCACGAAATAGATCGGATGAACCTGTGAGTATTCTTTTGTGTTTAATCCTTTGAACTTTACAATTGAAACCTTTCAACGGAATTCACAGCTTTGAATTTCAATGCATTTTTATCAATGAACTATAGAAAGGGTTGCGTTTTACTTTTCAATTGAAAGTTGATTTAAGTTTATCTATTTAAATTAAATCTAAATAAAAGAATAACATGAAAGAATGTTACGTAAAAGAATGTATTTAATAATACGAGAGCACGCCCCGTGGTCGAAAAATCGACCAACAGTATGTTTTGTACAACCTTCTCTATTTTCACCCCACACTGTAAATAAAACATGTGATTGGAATGTCTTCCATTTGTTTTGATTTTCTGTTTATATTGTGTTGTTATTTCGTCATCACCATAGCAACCCATAATACCCATGTTAATTTTTTTAAATTTCAAATTCATTTTTTGTGCTTATTTTTGAGCCTATTTTAATTTATAAAGGGATTCTGCACACCTACAGGAAAATAGCTTTCTAACGGTATGCGTAGATTTTTCCTACGATACACGCGAGCTGAGAAAAAAGGTTTTAAAGAAACATGCTTGCCTATTAATATATAGATAGATTATTCGTTTAGATTGTCGTATGGTTTTGTTAGATGTTTAAGAGTATAAACATGACATAATATAGATCAGCTGATGTATTGTTGTGTTCACCTCAACCGTCATCGTCGTTTAAAGTTTAATATTTTACGCGTGAATAACCAATCAGCTGATTGCTGACTGTCCCTGTGGAAATCATGAAACTTTTGCAATAGATTTAATCGAAGGTATTTGTAAATCTTTACTGTGGCTTTATGGTCTTTTTCAACCAAATTTCAACTCTCATACTAATATATATTTATAGATAGTAACATATTCAGGGAAAATTTATCTATTTAATCATGTAAATAAATGAAAATTTGCGTTGAAATTGAAATCATTTTGGGCATGCTGCAACAATAAGTGTTTAAGTATTGGAACAGTTATTTTTTGAATGATACAGGAATAACAAAAGCTCTAAAATCAATAAGTGTAAATACAACGGAAAACATTTTTTAAAGGAAAATAGGCCTACAAGTAAATGTGGGATCAATAAATCATAGATAGTTTGGTGTAGAAACAAACAAAAATACTCCGTATTAACATACAATTATTGTAAATACAACAATATTTTCATCAACAGCTATTAAAAGTCTGTGGATAGAAAGAATCCGTAGTATATATTATAGTTATAGTTATTTTACTTAAATCTAAGGGTATAACTTCATTAAGTTGAATAAACAATAGACCAATAAAAGGTATTTTGTGTAGGTCGCATTGTCTTCGAACTCATTGTCCTGTTAGTGTGTGGGACGGAAATTAATGGAATCGGAAAGTGGGAAACGCGACGCTTCGAAGTGGGGCGAACAGGGACGTTTTTATGTGGCTTCATTAGTGAATTTCACTTGACTAGGGATTTTTTTCGGTACATTCTGTATAGTTGCGATCGTATTTCAAATCTTGAATGTAAAGGCCATGCACTGTACGAGTAGCCTTTTTGAACAAACAATGATTCGTAAACGGCTCCAGCGATTTCCTATAAACTGTTAAAGATATCTTAGTTTTAGGCTAAAAATAATATCCATGCTAGGCTCTGTTCTGGGAAAATTCGTTGAATACTTAAATTAAGATTTTTAATATTTTTATCATTGGCCTTATGCGTTGCCAAGTGTAGCCATGGCAGTTTTATGAATAAACCAATTAACAAGGAAAATGTAAGCGAAAAACTGATAACATATGGTTATAACAAGCCATCTACAGTATATCGTCAGCATGGATATTGACATTCCTATGAATACCGTTGAGTGTTGTTTACACGTATGAAACTTAGTAATCTGAGCAGTGGAATATGCGATTTTTCGTAGATCTACAATACATACTCTTTTTGAGCTTGTGAAAACACCATGTTAGGTATTATTTACATAGATTTCCAACTAAACTAAATTGTATACAGTAATGGTTAGGTTATACCATACATTTAATTTTAAAATGACGTTTTAGAATGCTAAGGAGCTTTAAGGAGTTTATGCATTAGTAGTTAAAGAGAAATAGATTAAATTCCGCCTACCGCACTAATAACCAGCTTAGAACTGTCTCGTTCCGTATAAGAAAAAGAACCGTTGTTTTAAAGATAGTTATGGCATTTAAAAGTTCTGTTGCTTTCTTTGGTTCAAATTCAAAACAGGCTTACTGTTACATTCGCTCTCTTACTTGCTCTCTTTTTACTACGTTAACTTCAAATAAGTAAATTGTTGACATAATAAAACACTACTTTTAATATATGGATTACTTTCAAGTGACAGGAACTCACATTAATGCTATGTATTATCAATACAACATCTAGATTTAAATGAATGCATTAAACTGCATAAAAAATCCTTACAATGTTTAGGAAAACGCAATTTTTTACATATTTAACTGATTTCCCAGTACCACATAAAGTTATTTTAAAATGTCAGCTATGCGATGCATCAACCCGCGAATGTTGACAATAAGTTCAAATATTGGGCTTCCGCACGATTCGTTTCGAGTTTATATGAGTAATTTATATTCCATCGGTGATGTGTGTAGCAAATGTTTTTGCGGGTTTATTTCATTTCTTTACTGATAGCTTAGTAATTAATGCAAAACCGATTCAGCTAACTTTATATATCGAACTATATGCTAATGTATTGCTCGGGCTTCCATCTATATACCTAATATGATATAGGGGGTTCCCTGTAACGTCCCTTTTCCAACCTTCCTACTCAGTCGATTTTACGATTAAGTATCATTGTAAAGCGCAGGGACGAATATTAACGTAATATATTTCATTAGTAGGACCGAAAGTGGCATTTTTAGGCATGCGCTCTACAGGGAACCCTAATTTACGTGCGAGGCGAAGCCGAACACGGGAATAATGGAGCAAGTGCCGGAAAATAACTTTCAGAACGAGTTATGAACGATACTTTTCATCACGACGCAAAAATACACAAACACTGAATAACAGACCTCAGTAATATTACAGCCATTTCATTTCTCAATTAATTTGTTTGAACATCAAAATAAAATAAAATCTTCTAAAAAGAAACCTACCTATATTTTTGCTTAATTTTCTTAACATTAAAATAAAAGAATTACATAGGGCCTACAGCTGATGTATCGCGCGTAGTGTAAATGGAGAACTAATCGAGAGCGAGGGAAATCAGCTAATCGATTTTCCCTCGCCCTAAATTAGAGCTTGAAAAACACTATAATTTTGTAAAATGTTGTAGAAAATAGTAGCTCTCGTTACGGAGTGATGAAATAGTAAATTTCATCACTAGGGCCTGAAGTGACTCTTTTTGACCCGAGGTCAAAAAGCGAAATCTTGCGAAGGCGAGGTTGGGAAATTCGCGAGGGTAAAAAAGCCAGTTTTTGCCCGTGTGGTGCACTATATTTTTCGTCATACTGCATCATTAATTAAAAAAGCTAGGGAAACGAAATAATTTGTATGTAAAGATAACCTCTCAAAACGACTTCCAGATTGTTTTCAATACTGCCAATGCAAATAGGCAGCTGTTTATTAAGTGATTCAATCGTTTTTAGTCTATTACGATTGTGTTACATACAGTACATTATACCATCGATAGGTCGAGCAATCGACAACAATGTCGACCTTACCTAATAAATCATTCGATAAATAATTTCAATCAATACGACTGCCACAATCGAAATTTACAACTGTTTACAACAGCTGATCTTTACTCCCTAGAGACTACAAATGATTTTTACTCTTTAGAGAGTAAAAATGCTACTTTAAGCCGGGGTTTCCTAGGCGCGGAAGTGAAGCGCGGAGAGAGAAACGCGGAGAGCGGAATCCACTTGTCTTAGGTAATTTAATGTTACTGTTTTCCTAGAAGCAGAGCGGAACACCAGTTAATCTCTTTTCCGCTCTCCGCGTTCCTCTCTCCGCTCTCCGCTTCCGAGCCTAGGAAAACCCAGCTTTAGACCCGCAACGCATGCATTAAAAACGGCTGTTTTTGCTGCAGTATGACGAAAATTTCATTTCAATTCGAGCTTCAACCCCCTCCAGTGTGATTTATTTTTTAGGGGTTTCTAAGATTCAGTGATGCTGACAAATATAACGTTAAACCGTTATACACGTGAATGTAATTGTGAGCCACTAAACTTTCTTTTGCATGTTTAACCACAGTTGATCGTAAACAATGGGTTATGAAAATGGATTTAACCTAAACTACGTTTATAACTATTACCTGATAGAGGTAGATAAGTTACTCATATTGTATTGCATTTGTTCATGTTGTAGATCTAAAAGCACAAAATTATATTTATACAAAATTAGCTGTTTTATTCAACTAAAAATGTCTAAAACAATCCGTCTTTAAAAATTAGGTCCCCAGGATAGCTGATAGGCGTATAATACAGGTATACACATTTTTTTAACGCGAACTGGTTTTACAAGATGTATAGATTCGTGTACAATACTGTTTTGGAAATATAACGGTGCTTAGAACAGTAGACACGTAATGTTTTTTCGTGAAATTATAAAGAGGAATGTGGCAACTGGAAGTAACCAAGAAACACTAAAGGGGCGGTTCACGAGCTCGGGACTATCGTAGTCCGAGCCCAGAATCCGGAAATAACCGGTATTTGGGCCGCGACTTGAAAAATCGGGTTCACGAGCTCGAGACTATATAAGCCGGGGACCAAACTGATAGGTGGCACACAATTAGTGCAGGGATAAAACCCGGTTTTAAAAGTTGGGTTCACGAGTCCAATTACAGATAGTCCCGGCTCTGATCATTAGTCCCGGTGGGTTCACGAGTCAAGAGTGAGTGAGATGGTTCGGGCCCAAAAGAACAATGGTGTTTGGTCTCCAACTCAGACCTGGTAGGAGGCAGGTTTAAGGTGACATCATGCGGGTTTTATCTAATTAGCTCCTTTATTTTTAATAATTTTTAAAAACTGATGTTTAAATATGG